CGGAGTGAATGTACAAGGAGCGGAGGGAAAGACTGGAAAGCCTGTTCTAAATTGTGTAGATGTGAAAACTTTGCAACAGGACGATGTGTGTATCGCAGAGCAAAATGTTCTTTCGCCAAAAAGAGATACATTTGCATGTGCAGGAGGAGGAGGAATGGCCCCCGACCCAGATATTGTTAATTGTACAACAGAAAGACAGTTGTCTCGGTCTTTTTTTTTTTTTTTTTACATTTCATGATATATTTATGATGTACGAGACATTGGACATATAAAGAATTTATTCATTACAACAATTAGTGCTTGGAGGAAAATGTTCAGAATAAATATTGGCATAGTTATAATCATTAATAAATACGTTTACCTGATTTGGGGCATTCTTTTTTTTTTTTCAAAAAAAAAAATTTTGGTTTTCAGGAGGCTGTGAACTTAGCTTCTCAGCAACAAAAAGTATAGTTGAATTGGCTTCAAATTATTTTATTCTAAATCGAAGGGGAGATCACTCTTACTGCATCGATATATCACAGCCTGGTGTGCAGTCACAGCAGTGATTAGATAATTCTTAAAATCAAACCATTCCTATAAAAATTCTTAAGCAATTCATTATGCTATATAGATATTTATCACATTGAGACTTTGATACAAAAAAAAAATTAATTTGTTATAAAAAATATTAATTCGATATAACAAATAAGCAATTTGTTAGTTACGAATTAGTAATTTAATAGTTAAAAAATGTAATTGTTGCATCAAATTAATAATTTGTTATTAAAATTACTTATTTTTTATTAAAAATTACTAATTAATTATTTCAAATTAATTTAATAAATATACATAAATACAATGTATATATCAAATTGAGCATAAAATATTAAAGTGATCATGTGGTCCGGGTGCCTCTTTTGTTAGTGCATGTATTTCATAATCATAAATCCGTTACCGGTCTGAAATTATCAAGATTTAACGAAGCATGAATTCTGTTTAAAAAGGAGAATTTTGTGTAAAAATACAAATAAATAAAACAAAAAAATTTTTAAAAAAAATTTCGACACCCCCCCCCCCCTTGTTAAAAAACAAATTCCGAAACCTTATTGCACATCTACAGGAAATCACCAATTACATTCCGAAAGATGACTGTACGAGGAGTTCTGGGAACATATTTTTGGGTGGGAAATTGTCGTTTTTCGGCCACTAATTGGCTTCCCAGATGAAATTGAAAATTCCTAAATTTTATTGCACATCTACAGGTCACCACAAATTACAGTATAAGCCGAATTTTTAACGAGGATTCAATTTTGGCATTATTACATGTAGCGGGGGGTTTGAGATCGCTAAAATTGAATATCGCTAACAATTTAACCCATATACTATAAGGTTGTTATAGATATTTTTCTTGACATTATAAAATCGCTAAAATTACCTCTCGCTAAAAATTATATACCAATTTATGTGGATAAATCGCTAAATTTGCGTCTCGCTAAAAATTCCACTTATACGTGGTATAATACAGAAGACGCCAAGTCTACAACTGCGTAAGATCTAAGAGGGTTTTTGAAATAAGGTTTAACTTGTAGGAAAAACTTCTTCAATCCTCAACTGGCCCTCAGAATGAAAACAAAAACCCTATTGTATATCTACAGGACACCATCAATCATATTCCAAAAGTTGAATTGGCTAGAGATTCTTAGGATGTAATAGGAGTTTTGGGAAGAAACATGCTCCTGTTCAAGCTAGAAAAGATGTTTCTACATTTGTATTTCAATTACATTAAAGAAGTATGAATTTAATGTAGAAACTTTGTTAGGTGTTTTACACATGTATATAGAGTATTACTGGGTATTATTGCTGAGTATTACTTTATGAATCTGGGTTACGTGGTTTTAACAGATGACAGTGGCATAGCTTGGGGTCGATCAATGCGGAAGCATAAAACCGCAGGGGGGGGGGGGGGGGAGCATAAGGTTCCGATAGGACCAAGGTGAAGTCGGTAGATAGGTGTGATTTTTTCGCCTACAAAAATTCAACAAATATATTGACAGGATGAGAAAATTCAGGAATAAAAAGAAAAAAATATATCGCGTTCTGGAGGTTACAAAAAAAGTTTTGAGTCGGGCCATTATTAGCCTTTTTTAGCCAGTCGGTCTGGGGAGGACCAAAAAAAAAAAAAAAAAAAAACAAAAAAAAAAAAAAAAAAAAAAACAAACAAACAAACAAACAAACAAACCACACAACAACAATTTTTTAAGACCTGATCATAAAGGTTTATGATATGGCAAGCCCTTTTGCTTTTTATTAGGAAAATAAAATATCACCTTAAAAATTACAGAGATATCTTTTATTTTAGAGAGATATCTCTTAAAAACAAAGATATCTCTCAACTTAAAGAGATATCTCTTTAAGAAAGAGATCTCTCTTTCACTTAAAGAAATATCTCTTACACTTAGAGATATATCTCTTTCACTTAGAAAGATATCTCTTTTACTAAGAAAGATGTCTCTTCCACTTGAAGAGATATCTCTTTTCCTTTGAGAGATATCTCTTTCGTTAAGAGAGATATCTCTTTCACCTAGAGAGATATCTCTTTTACTTCGAGAGATATCTTTCCAAGTTAAAGAGAGCAAATAAAAATATCAAAAATGCAGCTCATATTGCTTTAATTTGTAGATTGTAAATTTGAGATTTTGTGCAAAATTTAGAAGAAAACTATGTCAATGCACAACATTGTGCGTTGTGCAACACCCTCTGGAATTTACAGAATCGCACGCCATCTAGCATTAATTCAGATTTTTTTTTTGCGTGTCATCTAGCGTCAATGACTGTTTTGCATCGCTGATCGTTCGTTTTGCAAAGGAGTCTTGATTTTGCAATCGAGACTGTTGGTTTTATTTTATTATTTAAAGCTGTTAGTTTTGCATCGGTAATCGTTTGTTTTGTAACAGAGCCTGTTGATTTTGCAATTATGTTAATTTTTAGGTCACCTGAGTCATTCGGGTGACTATTGCAATCTGTTTTCATCCTTCGGCGTGCGTCGTCCGTCGGTTGTAATCTTTTGAACATTTTCAGCTTTTTCTCTATAGAACTGCTGAACCAATTTCATCAAATTTTGGTATAAAACATCTTTAAGCAAAGGGGGACAAAAATTTTGAATTTCATGGTCCCTGTCCCCCTGGGGCTTGAGGGGTGGGGTCAAAACCATCAAAATTAATTTTCAAAAATCTTCTTCTCTACTCCTGAACATCAAGCAGTCAAACTGTTGACATAATTATAACATACAATAAGTCCTTTACCAAAATTATGAAATTCATGGCCCCAGCATCAGGGGTTTTGGGGTTAGGGAGGGGCTCTATTGATCACATAAAGAACAATTTTGCATAAATTCTTTAAAAAGCTTCTTCTCTCCCCTGTATACTAAACAAAGACACTAAGTGTATGGTTATGATAAGCAAAGATTGTAATATCATGACCCCTAGGTCAGGGGTTCTGGTGTAAAGGGGGAGGAGCTCTAATGATTATATAGTGAAATGCATTATTTATTTCAATGTTACCATCATAAGTTCGATCGAATAGATAACTCAAAGGTCTCAATTATCAAACTCTCGTGAAATAAAATTTCCCCTTAGTTTTTTTTTTTTTTTTTTTTTTAAATTTACCTTCATATTCCACGCTAATTTCCTTCTAAATCCTTCGTTCAAATATTCTGTCATCACTTGTCATTACTAAATATTTTTTAATTGTTTTTATGGTTCATCTGTCATACTGATATTCCAAAAATATTTCAGAGAGGCTAAATGTACATGTATATGTGTGTGTTCTTAATGATTGATAAATTGACCACTAAAATTCCTCTTTATTCATTTGAATGGTCTAAGTCAATAAATGATGATGCACATAAAATGCTCAGAAATCAAAGAAATGTGATAGGACTCGGTATTAGAAGCTGTCTTCAATAATTATTGTTGTAGCAATCCTGTAATCACACTCCTACTGACTTAACATGAATAACTTAAAGCAAATGAGCAATAGGCAAAGTTTAATTCAATTTTATTATTCACTTCTATAACATCATAAATGCCACGTCTATTTTAAAAATCAATTGAATTGGTATATGAACCTCTAAAAATAATTATTTAAATGACTAATGAGTGACTATATTTTGCATATTGATTTATAAATATATCAATATCAATTAAAATTTTTTTAGAGCATCTCTTTGGCGAAAAAAATTAATTAATAGTTTCTCAAGCCAAAAATTTCAAAATTCAATGCGACATGCGGGTTCTTCTTCTTTTTTGTTTTGGAAGCAGGTGTTTCACCTTTTTTCTCATGTCAGTCGTTCAACAAAATGATGATATCAACCGATTCTTAAATTTTTTTGTTCTCCTACATTAATCATAATATGTTATCAACTTTACATAATGTTATTCCAAAACATTTGTTCCTTATATTAATCATAATATGTATTCAACTTAATAAATAAATAAATGTTATTCCAAAAATTTGTTTAAAAGTTAATTCATAAAATACTGTATTTGAGAAATTTGAGTTATTTTCCTTTTCAAAATGTAAATAAAATTGATCAATCCGGCAGTTTTTGACCTGAAGCAGCGGTGCCTGAGAAACTATTGATTAATTTTTTGGCCTTTTCTATTAATATAATGTGGAAACTTTGTTGCATAGTATAAAGCTACATCTCCATGAATCTCATGGCATTGAACATTATCATATATTCTTATCCTTGATTTGCAATATTACATCATGTGTCCTTCATTATAACATACTTATGACTTTGACCAGTCTCACTGGTTGAATGGGAATGTATAGTTTATCACATAATTATGCTGCTGAATAATTCTTGCACAAACAATCATAACAATTACTGAGCATTTTTTTTTTACAATAAAGGCACTTGGAAATTCATTTCATTTTTCATGTACCCTTCTTGGAAGACAAATGTTAAAAGTTAAAAGTTGTCAAAAAAAAAAAAAAACTGTTTCACATGACATTTCTTGTATATATATAAATAATTTGTGAGATGGTAACATTATCAAACAAACAAAAAATCTGAGACAATAAAAGTAGTGAGTAACAATTATAAATACATGTACACAAGGTACTGTACATTTCAGTTTATAATTATATTGATTGAGTGTATATGGTAAAATACTCATTCTTCAATAGACGCAAGCCAACATAATCTTCAAGGATTTTTTATCGCTTTTTAAAATAATGCAACAACAGACACTAATAATAATAAACTAATAATACATGTATATGTTCTACCTTTACACAACATGGCTGACTGATGAAATAATTTGTTTATTTAAATTTTATTGGATGTTTCTTGAAATTCAGTACGAAAGAAGTTAGATCAAGAATGAGAGTTCTGTTTCATTTTTACACTGCAAATCCAAACCAATTAAAAAAAAGTCTTACACACTCACTATCATTTTGTTGCAAATTTCCATTATCCAAATGATTTGAATGCCTACAAAAATTGTAGAGTTTTTATGCATTGGCTAGCTTAAAGCAACTACAAGAAACAGAATCAAAATCTAATCCAAACACTAAATATTTATCCTATACATGTACAGTGTAGTTATTATAAAACATTGTAAATATATTAGTACTTGTATGCAAATAAAAACATTAAACATTATGTTAGTAATTTTTTGTAGAAAGTTAATTTTTACAAAACTAAAAGTGGACCGGATTTAAATCTAAAAAAAAATCCTCCAACAATTTACACTGTATCAGTTCTACTGTTGAATTCATTTTCCTAGATACACCTCTTTGGTGAGAAGGGAGGTAACACATGGCAATTCCACACTGATTCCTTCTTTCTTTTCATAGTATGAACGTACTATGTTGTTCATTCTGGTGAGCAGCCTCTGTATCTCCAGAGGTTCCTTCTTACCTACGACATGTTCATTCAAACCTTGGATCCATGCTTTGATGCCTGTGTGAGGAATAGATTTTATAGAAATTATAAATTTTTATTCTAATTTACATTAATATGATATAAACTAAATAATAACTCAAAGTCTGTCAATTTACTATAAATGTATGTTTATCTTTTACAATTGATAGACCAAAGGCATACTGACTGTAAATTTTTGATGTACAATATACATTTATCAGAATAAACCAAATAATTATATTATTAAAGTTATAATATTTGGAAATTCCACAATAATATTTATTATATTACAAAAATATTGAATTGAGGACTATTTTTTAATACTAGAACTTTGGCATTATAAAATATTTCTCACATCTAATCTCATTGTACAGGATACGTGCTAACAGATACCTACTTTCAACGTTATCTTTGAATTTATTACATGTACAGGATAAGACATTTTAATTTTTATTACAGAAAAGCCCTTGTAAGAAAATAATAAGATTTGTACATTATATCTGTTCGTCCAGGCATAGTGTAAGATAGAAATATTACCATAAGGTGACAACCATTTTTTCCCCCATTTTATATTTAAAGTCATTCGCAATCCCTGGTATCAAGTTGCGGTGGGTAGGGTGCATCGAACGCCGCCTAAAATTCAGTCATTTTTATAAAGCTTTCCCTATCAAATTCATATTATTTTGTGATTTAACCCCCCCCCCTTTCTAACTGAAAACCCTAAATCTGCCCCTGGTATTTGTGTCCGAGTTCCCTCGGGAGCTTCTCCTTATCGATGTGACTCAAAATATGAGAAGTTAATGTGAAATGTGCCTGCAAAGTACATGTATTATAGAGAGAAATCTTTAAAAATTACACTGGAACTTTCAGCATCTGACTCTACTAATCGTAAGATTCCGTGACTTTCCATATATGGTCATGTCAAATTTGTCAGACTACGACAGGCGCGGATCCAAGAATTTTTTTTCCAGGGGGGATCCATCCCAGTCAAAAAAAAAAATTCTAACCCCAACATTTCTTGACATGACAAGCAAAAAAAAAAAAATCCATTTCCCAAATCTGAAAACACCTATATTTCGTGGTGGTGATGGTGGGATCCACGTTTCTTCCGGGGGGGGGGTCCATTTTTATTTGCTTCAGTGTTTCCTTTTATTAACTCTGCAAATTCCACGGGGGAGGGGGGGGGGGGTCCGGACCTCACGGAGGGGAACGTATCAAATCAGAACTGATTGATGTTAAAATTTTCAGAATAACTCATTCAAAATATGGTCGTTCAGAGTTTAAATACGAGATGGAAAGAATAAAAAGGAAACGCCGAGAATTACATGGTACAGCTTTCAAGATAAGAGCTTAAGATAAACAAATTACAACTGAAGAAAACCAGATATACAATTTTCAATCCAACAAATTGTAAATTTACAGGTCTGGATTTTTGAACATGATTACCCTCCATACTCCCCACAACATTTACACTCCGTGATTTTACTGATAAAGCAATGAAATAGACAACTGATTTTGTTACATTTATAAAAATTAATCAATATATGTTACAAACAAAATTATGTACAATTAAAGGATAGTTTTTATCCAACGAAAGTTCAAATTGTCTGCATTCCATTGCAATCGATACACAAGTAAATGGAACAGCCTAATCGTGACATGGTGACCTAATTCATTTTCTCTGTAGAGGAATTTAAACGATCAGCCGTATTTTAGAGCTGTTAGTTGAATAGAAATAAAGTCCTTGTTGTTGTGAATGATGCAGGATAACCTCCTCGGTCTCAAAATGTTGTTTGAAATATAAAAGCCTTAATGGCTAACACCTCTGCTTTTATATTTCTAACAACATTTCTCGACCTTCGAGGTTATCCTGCAACATTCATAAAAACGCAAACTTTATTTCTTAAAAACATACTTCTGATTCATGGATATTCATGAGTAAAAGACAAAAACTGAATTAGATTCTGTACATGTGCAGTATAAATAATGAAAATGTTGTTTTGCGAGCTATACTTGCGTCTAAAAAAAATACACTAGAATAAAAATTCGTTTTTCTTTTCTGACAATTAAAAAAAGAAAACTAAAAAAAAAATAAATAAATAAATAAATGGCATTTTGTTTAGAACTGTCGTGTATTAAGAGGTGAATAAATTGTTGATTTAGCTGTAACCACACTGCTCAACGCGTTATCGGCTATTCGGTTCTTATCGGACATTCGGTGCAAGGAAGGCAAAGTTTATAAAACATAGGTGATTTTAAATTTCTTAATTCAACGATAATTGCGTACTTCAGCGAACAAAGTTTGTGATCTTAGGCAGATAAATGATTATACTTTCAGCAGCAAAAAGAACAAACCAAATCACTCTCTTTCTAGAGATATACAGCTCTTTCAAGTGATATTTTATTAAAATTTCGGAACATTTCATCACATTTTGGCTTTTGTAGAAGTCAAAATCAGATTATTCTATAAAACAAAACGGTTTATTTATTCTATGGACAATCATATACCTGTAGATAAGCAGACTGAGATCAAAAATCCAAATTAAAGGTTAGTTAACAGGCATCTAAAATGTCTCGTTAGGTTAAAACATGTTATCGTCAACAAGGTTGATGTTGCCGGATAATTCGGTTTTTAGGGATGTACGTTATCGGAAACTCAGATTAAAAAGTTTCTTTCAGATTTAGAAATAGATTGGGAAAAAAGTAATTTATAATCTGTTAATCCTTGAAAATAGCAGACGTAATGTGTTTTAAGGAAATGTGATCCCCAGCCATGAAGGATAACTCTTAAAATTATTATTTAATTTTAAAAGTCTCAACATGAAGCTTGAAATTGAAAACTATTCATGCAACAATTTCCATTTTATGCATCTTAATATGATTTAAGGTTTTTGAAGTCTTAGAAAGGGTCTTGTAAAAAGTTGGCATTTGTTCCTTATAAAAGTAAAAAAATACAGTTTAAGATGAATAGGATTTTCTTGAGTCTAACCTTAAACACCAAAGCTTTTTAGCATAATATGAAATTGGAATGGATTTGTGATGTCATGCAATTATAGCACAAGCTTTTTACACTATGTATTATATAAATTTTGGAAGAAAATAGAAGACCTATACATGTAAAACCAAAGAAGTATTGAAAAAAAAAACATGCAAATTTCTCTAAATGCCTGGATACCTATTATTTTTTAACTTAAAATATATTTGTTGATCATTTTTCAATTAGAAAATGCATAGTTGATGTTTCTATTCGTCTTTTGAATATATTGGAGATTTGATAATTTTCCATATGTAGTATGATAAACTATAATGATTAACTTTGAAGAAATACAGTGGGTAAATATACATTAATTTGTGAATTCAGAGATATTTTTGTGAGCATTTTCAATTACATAACTGCTGAGGATCTGAAATTTTTGAAAATTTTCCAGCTTTCTATTGTTATTTTGTTTTGATACTCGTACATGTATATAAATAAGAATAATTATTATAATTATGATTTTATAATATAACTCCCTATCTGTTCAATCATTTTTCTGTTATTTATTAAACATTATATATATATATATATATATATATATATATATATATATATATATATATATATATATATATATATATATATATATATATATATATATATATTACGTGTATATAACAAATCTATATATAGTTATCTATAGTTGTTTTAGTTAGTCACGTCTTCCGATCTAATACTGTAGATCGTTTAAATTCCACAAGGTTAAAATTTCACGATTTCTCAAAAAGTACTTATCGCGATGGTTTTAATTTCACGCTGCAAGAAATTAAATTTAAATTTCGTATAAGCATTGAAATGTTTTTAAAAACTAATGAGAGCATTCACGATGGGTTTAATTTCGCGGAAAAATGATGAATCGCGAACATAGTGAAAATAAAACCATCGCGATTATTTGCAAATCTACAGTATGTCATTTAGTGCCCAAATGAGCCTAGAAGGCTAGATATTTTTATGTCCAATATAGAGCGATAGCATTGTTTGTGTCAAACCATTTGATTTAAAGGTTTGAAATAGAGGAAATAGAATGAGGAACATATCGCAAAGAAATATTTCTTTATAAATTAAATTAAAAAAAAAACTCAAATCAAATTTCCCAAACACGTAAACAACACTTGGGGGGGGGGGGGGGCTGGTTGATTCACTTCACTTCTTCATATGTTTAACCTTTTCTACAAACGGTGATCCGCGTTTTCAATGAAGGGGGGATGCAACGAATCCCACTGTGGGACGTGGAGACCGGTCCTTCGGATGAAACCGCATAAACCGAGGTCCCGTATGAGTGAAAAATTCTCGAGAGGGGCATTAAACAATAAACAAACAAACAAGTACCAAAAGCTGTCTCGCAGTTGTAGATGAGAAAATCTGCTTCCCTGGGAATTTTAAGTGGTGTGGTAGGTTCTTCTTTACTACCCTGTGTCATAGGATCAGTAGTATTTGTTTGAACTGGCTCCAACTGAAAAAATACATGTAGGTAGTCAAATATAAATTCTCACCTGAATGAATAAGTCAAACTTGGGTATCTCAAATACTGCTATCTTGAATACCATCGATATGTCAAAGTGATTTGGAAGTCACCCCACTTATTCTTTAAGGATATTTTACCATCAATATCTCGAATCCTCAGATATTTAAGTTTTTTCTCGGTCCCATGGAGTTCAGGATAACGAGGTTTGGCTGTATTATCTATATCTTGTACCCAATAAATGTTCAGTACCATCCATTATTGTATGATTCCACTATACTAATAGATTTCCATTTGCCTGTGGTATAAAACTGGTGCCTGCATGGGTGTTTTTGAATAGGAAGTTTTAATGAAAAGTAAAATAAAATCAAGGTTACAAAAAGGTCATTAAATGTTAAATGAGAGGTCTCAAATGACCGGTCATATTAATTGTATATCTATTTATACTGAAGAAAGAAACATTTAAAATTACATTCTGGGGGGTCTATCAGCAATAAACTGAAGGAATTAAAGATCAAAACTCTTCTATTATGTCTTTCACTGGTGAATTACAAAGATGACTTTTGCCCCAACAATTTCAATAAGCATGGTCAAAGTTCAAGGTCCCTAACTAACTAAAGGATTTTTAAGATTACTTAAGAAAAAAAAAACTTCTTTAACATGATTCAGCAAATGTAGGACAATTTAATACTCTTCAGTAAATCAAATGTCAAAATCAAGTTCATTAGATTGTAATTAAGCAATGCATGTTACATAATATCAAATTTCCTTCATCTCACCATTCAAAAGATATATATTATATATTAGTAACTATATTGTGAAATAAACAGATCGACAGGAAGGCAGATCTATAACTAAACAAAGAGACGGGTAACTAGACACCGTCACAGACATATACCAGGCAAAGTGATCTCTTAGTATTTGTCTGCTTTGCTGGTGATATATATATATACATATGAAAAAAGGACTCTTCAATTTAAACAATATTAATTTTATTTTCAAAAGGAAACTAGATGTGTCGTTATTGCCACGAATACCCCGCAAGCAGCCAAAATTTCAAACGCAATATTTATACTGAAACGCAAAAGAAACGCAACAAGCAGTAATCTACAAATATTTGAATTTTTTATCTAATGATTTTCAAAAATGAATACAGAAAGGTAAAATTTAATTTAAAAACATTAGAGATTTGATAAAATTTGATAAAATTGCTTAATGATTATTTTTTAACTTTAGAAAGTAACAAATGACTGTTAAAACACCCCCATCCCGGTCGTTCAATTACAGCGTGCAAGACTGCCATGCACAACAATTGCAGCTTGATCTCTACAATGCAATAGGTTCATCAATCTCGAGATCTGAGCGAAAGAAATATTCTTTGCCATGCTCGTTTTTCAGATGATAAGGTCACATTTTCTCTAGCCTAGCGCAGTGTAGTAACCTTTGGACTTCCAGTTGAAGGACTGTTATTCATGCTTATAATATGTAAGAGCCTCTTGAGGCGTGATGTAGTGCATATTTGCATCTGCAACTCTCCATCACCTTTATTTTGAGATTTTCCAGCTAGAGCAATGGAAATGTGTATTTAAGTCATTTTCAAGAAACCTTGGCATCGCTTACGGAATATTGCTGCATTACTTATGATGAACAGATACAAACCCTTAAAACCCCATATTATTACTAATTGTTTTGTTAAACATGCAATTTTTGATTTCGGTTAAGCGGACTCAAATCTAACTTCCGGTAATGGTATGAAAGTCATTCAACCGTTAAATTACCGATATTTACAAAGTTGAAGATGTCCTCACTTTTTGTTACAAAAATATATCCTATATATAATATTTCCCCCTAAAATGGGATGTTGCGTTACTTTTGCGTTTCAGTATAGTTTAAAATTTGAATTCGAACTTGACCCATATTTTCTGGTAAAATACCTGCATGTGCAATTTCAACCTTTTACCTACATCCCTACAAAAGTCAGAGAGCAGAAATTGAAAAATTCTTATTATGCCCCCGTATCGAAGATTCGGGGTTATATAGTTTTTGCCCTGTCGGTTCGTCTGTCTGTTTGTCTGCATAAATTTTAACATTGTCCATAACGTTTGATTGGTTTGAGCTATGGCTTTCATATTTCTCATGACTGTGTATTCCTTGTGACAAGACCTTTCTTTGGGTACCACCATATTTGACCTTTTGACCTTGGAGTTTGACCCAGTTTTGCAAAAGTTGACCAAACTTTAACATTGGCCATAACTTTTGAACAGTTGGTGCTAGAGCTTTCATCCTTCACATATGTAATCCTTGTGACAAGACCTTTCTTTGGATACAAACAACTTTGGAGGTTGACCCAGTTTTGCAAAAACTTTAACATTGGGCCATCATTAAAAATATCTTTGTTTCCCCTAACCCGACCCTTAAATCTCAAGTTGGGTAGGTAGGTAGGTAAATAATTTTTTTTCTGACAGCAGCTTTGAAAATACATTTTGAAATTTAACGGAATAATACCTTTATAAATAAGAAAAGTACAAAAGAAAGCAATTTGTAAACAGAATTTCATACAAACGACGTTTAAAAGCAAAATATTCTAATAGGTAAATTAATTTACAACTATTGTTCAATTGAACTTGTAAAATATTTGACGTCAGTGTAAATTTAATGAAATCAAATATTTAAAAGACAAGATTCTTGGATACGCAAGGACTTGAAATCTGGGTATATTTTTCAAACCTACTATCAGGTTCCAGTGCTTACACATGCAATGTACATTATCAAGGGCTTCGAATTGTGCAGTAGTCTAGAGCATTACCTTTTGGAGTTCCGAAGTAAGGAACTAATTTAAATTCCAAGTCGTAGGTTCAAATCCGAATGCGGGACGTTGAGACCGGTCATTCTAATGAGACCGTAAAAAATTAGGTCTAGTTCGCAGTAGATGTTGGCACTAAAAAGGTCCCTCACCATTAATGGCTGAAAGTGCCGAGTACAAGATTAAATTTGGAGCCCTTCACCGGGCTAATGTTCAACAATTCTCAAAGGAATTTAAAGCAAAGAAACAACCAATCTTCAGGGCCCTAATTAGAGAAAAAATGCACTGGACGTCTCAAGAAGCTGTATCACGATTTCAAAACTATTTGGAAAGAGTAAGTAAATAATATTTAATGGAACAGAGCCAAATCTAAAAATGATAAAAATGTCATACACAATGTCAAAGTCACGAAGTTTAAGCCATGAAGTAAAGGCATGAAAGAAAGGAACATGTGAATTCTATTCATCAGTATTAAATATGCAGACATATTAACAACAACTCCTATGGTCCGATATAGTACACATAGGAGAATAGATGAAATTTTTGTAAGATCAAAACTCAAATTAATAAATGTAGTGAAATTGATTAATGTGTTCACGAGGAAGGCGGACCTTACCATGTATCGTGGATACTAAGTACCTTATCTTTAAAAGAGGGGTTAGTAAATACCACAGAAACAATCGTAATTAGTCGTGATATTTTTTATTCACGAAATATTTGAAGAGGGTAGGATTCTAATAACTAAAGGCAAAAGGTTGATACGTCATCGTTATTTATAGCTCGAACTAACCCTCTTTGACCACATGTTGTGGGTGCATTTTGTTTCCAACAAACGCTTGAAAATCAAAGTTAACAAAATCCGCCGTTCTGATAAAAACGGATTTCGATGAAATTGTATTTTCATTGATAAACATTCAAAAAAATATACTGGAATTATCTTATTAAAAAAACTTTTCAGTTGGCGCGATTTAATTGGGTCGGTCGCGTTAGGGGAAACAAAGGTATTTTTTATTTTGGCCTTGGCCATAACTTTTGAACAGTTAGTGCTAGGGCTTTCATACTTCACATGTGTAATCCTTGTGACAAGACCTTCTTTTTTATATCAATTACTTTGACCCTTTGACCTTGACCTTGGAGTTTGACCTACTTTTGGAAAACGTTAACCTTGGCCATAACTTTTGAATGGTTTGTGCTAGGGCTTTCATTTTTCTCATATGTAATCTTTGTGACAAGACCTTTATCTGGATACAAACAACTTTGACCTTTTTGAAAATTATGGCCTTGACCTTGAAGTTTGACCTACTTTTGAAAAACTTTAACATTGGCCATATTTTATGAATGGTTGGTGCTACAGCTTTCATACTTCACATATGTAATCCTTGTGACAAGACCTTCCTTTGGATACAACAACTTTGACTCTTTGACCTTGACCTTGGATTTTGACCTATTTTTGAAAAAAACTTTTACCTTGGCCATAACTTTTGAATGATTTGTGCTTTCATATTTCACATGTGTCTTTCTTGTGAGAAGGCCTCTCCTTGGGCACCATTAATTTTGACCATTTGACCTTGACCTTCATGTTTGACTTACTTTTGAAAAACTTTAACCTTTTTCATATCTATTCAATGGTTGCTGCTAGGGCTTTCATATTTCAAAGGTATATTTCTCGAGACGAGACCTTACTTTGGGTAGCAACATATTTGAATTGCATTTGAGAAAGTTTAACCTTCGCTATAAGTGGCCATACGGGGCCATCAGTGTTTCACAAACACATCTTTTTTTTTCTAAGTTCAAGAGGGTAACTCTGTCAAAAATCATTGGACAACGACCAAAATCAAATTTGGCTTGTATTTTCTGGTAAAATAAATGCACATGAATTTTCAACCTAATTTCTTTTTTTTTCTAAGTTCAAGAGGGTAACTCTGTCAAAAATCATTGGACAACGACCAAAATCAAATTTGGCTTGTATTTTCTGGTAAAATAAATGCACATGAATTTTCAACCTAATTTCTTTTTTTTTCTAAGTTCAAGTGGAATAACTTTGTCAAAAATCATCAGACCATGACCAAATTGGAACTTGACCTGCGTATTCCTAAGACGTGTCCAAATGTCAAATTTGAATGTGTACAACTGTTGCAGAGATAATGAACGGAAATTGAATGATGATGAAATGACAGAATGACGGAACAAGTTAACACTATATGCCCCACTAGGCCATTTTATAAATTATGGGGGGCATAAAAATAAGCAGGCAGGAATGCCTTTGAAAACAAACCATAGCATGGTTAGAGAAAAATGTAAACATCAACATCTTGCAAAGGTATTAAAAAGAAGTTTTGCTCCATTATAAAAGTATAGATTACTTGGAAACAAGGTTTATTTGAAAAGCTACCTGTAATAAGAATATTTTGGGCTTCATAAGAAGTCCTTGGCACTTGTCTCCCTTGAGACATTCTTGGAGTTCAGACACGGGCAGCATCATACTCGGAGTAGGGTATCTAGTACTTGAATTTCCATCTTGACTGTCATCCTTACAGAAAATCACACCATCTTTTCCGCAGGATAAAATTACACAGATAAAACAGTAGTCATCGCTGAAATCAGCCTGGGCCACTATGAAAAAATAAAATAGTTCTTAGTGAAACAATTTCACAAAGAACAAAAGGCCCATAGGCCACAACTCCCCTGAGTCACTTAGGTCCTGCTGTTCTGCATCAGCAGATTTTTTCCCCCTATATGTTCCTATGTAAAACATTGATTGCCTTTTTATGGCCCCACCCACACCTAGAGAGCATGATTTAAACAAAATTGAATCAACACTACTTTAGGATGCTTCCATATAAATATGGCTAATCATGGCTTTACTGTTCTTGAGAAGATTTTTAAAGACCTTTTCCTTTATATTTCTATGTAAAACTTTGATCTTCTATTGTGGTCCCAATCTATCCACAAGGATCGGGATTTAAACAAACTTGAATCTAAACTACCTGAGGATATCGATGCTTCCACTTTAATATGAATTGGTCATAGCTTTGCTGTTCTTGAGAAGGAGATTTTTTTTAAAAAAAAGATATTTTCATATATTCCTGTGTAAAAATTTGATTTCCTATTGCACTGATATAATAGTATATCGCAATACACAAAAAATATACCGTATCACAGTATAAAAACTGTATACCTGTGTATCACAATATTACATGTATATTACATTTTAAGCAATTTATGCTATTCCTTCGTAATTTAACCAAATAAACGTGATTTTGTTCTTTTTACTTATGCTGTTTTTATTGTGTTCAGAACTTATTAAATGTTATCTAATGTATTCATGAACTGAAGAAATAATCTTCATCTTTTATTCTTTCACATTGTAATACAGAATTTCTCATTTCAGAACAGAGACACACAAATTACAAAGAAAATTATGACAGGTGAAATTATCCCAATAAGTATCATGATACATGCAGTCTCAATGTATCATGATATGCTTTAGATGTATCGTTACACCTGCATTACATGCCATATTAAAAAGATGGGAGTAAAACACTAATTTTCTCTATGAAAACCACAAATTAAGAAAATTTATCTACTAGTTTTAATCTTATTTACATGAAATGATGATTTTCTTTAGTTCAATGACATTTCACCCTCAGATAAATGCATTTGTATGTTACCTTGTTCCAGTAACTTGATCATTTCTTTCTTTGATTTATCCTTCTGCACAAATGGTTCTGTACCACCTTTTATGTCTGTAAACCCTAATTTTTTAAATATGCTTTTCAATTTTTCAATGTCATCATCCTCTTCTTTATTAATACGCTTTTGAACCCTGTTTGGTGATTCTCTGGTCTCTTTGTCACATCTGTCGCACTTGTCTCGTTCTTCTTCACTAGAGTGATGTCTACACGCATGAAAATTCTGGTTTCTAATGATGAGGACTTTTCCACTTTCTTTCTTCAGTGCATACCTAAAAGATTTAATACACTTAAGTCAGAATCTTTATATAACTTAAATGTCTGGTTTTGATACTGAATGAGCATTAAAACTCAACAAACCGGGGGAAAACCATGTATATCATGTCAACTTTATAATTGTTTTCAATTCTTGTAACAGGTCTGAAGGCAATGTGCATGCAAGAATTGCTTACAATTATATTATAAAAGAAAAAAGAATATAGGTATATAATTTCATGCCATTAAAGTAAAATTATACTTAAAGAAATTATAGATTTCTTACATAATTTTTACCATTACCCTTTTTCACTGAATTTTAAGAAATACAGTTAAACTTTGAAGTATGAACATAGATACTAGTAAATTTATGGATATATCAAAGTTCCTTTGAATCCCCAGCTAAACTATATACATATAACAAATTCTGATATAATAAATTTACAGAATCTGATTTTATAGTGAACTGATTTTGTGTACCGTAGAGGTTAAAAGTAATGAAATTTACTAGGGATGACAGTCCAATACAGAATCGCTAATCAGTTAACCGCAAGACGTTTCGACTGATTAAGCAGTTCATCATATCTTGACATGTATTTTTTTCAAGTAGCTCTGTCCATGTAAACAGAAGAATAAAGAATGTAAAACACGCCAACCCCCAAAAATTCCTGTCCTTTAATGTTCGTTATTTTTGTATATTTTATACATGACTATATTTATCATGTGTATGCACATTTTGGACAATATCGTTCGAGTGGTATTTGGACAGGAAGTTCCAAAAGTTGCACCCCTTTGGTGTTCACGAAGAGAAGAAATTTTCAATCAAGTAACTATAAAATCCTTGATTTTTTTTAAAAAAAGTCAGGATATTCTGGCTGTCAAATTTCATCGACTCATTCTTTTGACCATTAAACAAACAAATAAGTTTAGTAATTTTGTAGATGTAAATATCGACAAAAGTTTTTTCGAAGAACTTAAACTGACAAAAACTATGGTTTATTTTAGCCTTGAAAAGTGTGTACTTTTCAATTTAATTTTTTTTTTATGAAAAAAAAAACTGTCGTTTAATTTTGGAAAAAATACTTTCCTCATAGAGCTGTTTGCAAAAATAATCTTTATAATTTTTTGGAAATTTTTTTAACGACCTGTTTTGAATTTATAGCGGAAAATACCCCACATCCCATTCTCCCTAAATCACGTTTCTCAAGCGTTTTTCAGACTTGAGACGAAAACAATGCTGTGAATCTACAAACCACATAAAATTCCAAGTTGGAAAATATCTTTTGCTTTAAAAATATTATATACATTATTTTATATCAGAGTTCTCATATTTAAAGTGCATTTGAATGTAGATTTATAGACAATTTTTAACTATATGTACAATCTCCTACTCCCCCCCCCCCCCCCCCTTCTGCATTATTTTTCTTTTTTGCAATGCAGGCCATACATGCTTAATGAAATATCGGTTACACTGCAGAATTATTTAGTCCATTGAATCCCTGAAGTGCTTATTTTGCTAATTCATGTATGCAGATTAAATATTGACAACTAGTATATTTTGTATTTAGTAAAACCTATTTTCTGAGGATTTTATGTCAACGCGTCCAGTATGATGTTACAGTAGTCCTTACATATGCATTCAGTTTCATACCTGGATATGAATTCAACTTACATTGAATCTGAATTTTATCTTTTTATTAAAAGTAAACCCCAACTGTGTATTTTCAACTCTCCTGTGATGTAAATGGATAGGCTAAATTAATATACATGTAGTGTCTTAATTATTTCAAACAAGAAAGCCCTTATAGGCCTATAGAAAGGGTGTTGGCACATACCCCCCTCCCCGATATTGTATGCATCCTTTCGTTGGTCCTATAGATGAAATTGAAATTTCGTATTTGTTCATATTAACTTCAATGTATCAAAGTGTAAATTCTTCATCTATTTTAAAATTATTCATGTGTACATGATAAAAAAAAATTTATTTTGATTCGAGGAAATGCGAACCGACACAGTTGCCAGTGACAGAAGGTCAGACAGTTTGCCGCAGTGAGATATTCATGTATTAAGATAACTTCACTAAACAATTTTTCTTCACTTTCGATACTTCTATGTATATATTATAGTTTTCAGTTCTTCAACTCACCAGAACTCACTGAAAATGTATCCGTGAAAAAATATTGTTCGGAAAACAGGAGGAATAACTCAACTAAAGGGGGGGGGGGAGGGGGAACAAACATCTCCCACATGTATAGAGTTGTTCCTCTTTGACCAGTGAGCTTCTGAAAATGGTATCGATAATTACAATGTAAAATATTGTGTTTGTTTGGTTGTTTTATTATGAAAAGGAGAACAAAACAATATTTATTTGGCAAAAGCATAATTATATGATAGACCGGTAAAGTCAATTGTAGCGGAAAAAGCAATATAACATAAATATATCAAAGAAAAAGGCTGTGCTCTGATCACGGATACAATTTACATATATAAAAAAAAAAAACAAAGTTCAAGGGTTAAGTTTTCGTTTCTTCCATTTTTTTAATAGGTGGAGGGGTTTAATTGAAAAATTAATCAAGGATAGACTTTGGTACTTGTGAAGAAATCAAGCCCCTATAATCCCATTTTTCATTTATTTCTAATACATCAGGATCGTTTCCCTTGTCACTCTTTGTGACGCTTTATTACCAAAGTCATCGCAAGAGTTTTCTCGCATAATCACCAGTGTGAGATTGACTTGTCCGGTGTGAGACAGCAGTGTGAGATTTTTCTGTCTTACACTGTGTATTACTACGCCGCGAACGATAACGTAAACATTCCGTCTTTATATAAAGAAATTGTAACAATGTTAAAAAATATAACATATACTTAAAATGTTGTCATTTAACTTATTAAGATAAACTTATTTTCATTCAAAATATTGTCGTATTTTCACTTTTTAAATGGCACTATTTTTAGATCGTGGAAGGATTCTTCTTGAATGAATGTGTACGCTATCGGATAGATAAGTTTTTTATTCCCAGTTTTTATCTATCTAATTAATTTACATGGACTGAAATTCATTTTATTGGTTTACACTATGTGTAAAACATTTTCAGGTACGCTCTCTCCGATGGTGTATTTAGATTTTTAATTAGATGGAAAATTAAAAGAATATATTTTTAGCCCTATCATGGCGACGTCATTGACAGGCCGTTATTTTGGATAAAATAATGCGAGAAAAATAATCATTCATTACATACTCGTGTGGGAATAGTGAAATTCCACCTCGGGGCCAAGATTCACGGTCTAGGACTCGGCAAAGCCTCGTCCTAGACCGTGAATCTTGTCCCCTTGGTGGAATTTCACTATCCCACACTCGTAGTAATGAATGATTCTATTAATCTCCCCGACTGTGTTGTACGTCTATACTCGATCGGGCTAAAAAAAAGACATTAGAAGTTAGAAACAGACCAGAAAACTATATGTACATATATTTTAGCTCAATTTTAATGGACCAGAAAAAATTTAACCCATGAAACATGTCTGAGATATCAAACATTGATAATTTTCCAGAGCAGATGCCACACAATATGATTCTGCATTGTCACAATGTAATCAAAACAAAGTCGGAACTTTCACTATATTTACGATGTTTGTCTAATCTAATAATATAATGTGATAGCTATAGATAACAACAAAAGATTGATGTACCAATTTACAGTACTAAACTGTGATTTATTTAATATCATTAAAAAATTAAAGAACAGTCGGGGTAACGACATGGTGTTGAAACAGTAATTAACAGTAATTTAAAACACTTTACAATCTGACCAACTGCCCCGCAACCTCAATCCAAAGAGCCATATACCATGTATACCGCCAAATCAGCTTAAACAGACATGTGGAAATTAACACTAAATTATTCAAGGTTTACGCAGAAGTTTCTTTCTTTTTCTTTAATTGAATTTTAAAAAGAAAATGCATTCAAATTTAAATATATTTTATTATTTCCGACAAACTGATTACAGATTTTCTTACCGATTACTATCATTCCTACCGAGTAATCGGTTAACCGGTTAAAAATTGTCATCTCTAAAATTTACATACCCGGTGTTTTATAATGAATTTATATCTTTTAATGAATTTTGAAAGATGTTTGTATTTGTAAAGATAAATATACATGTAGAGCAATAACCAAAAAATCATGAAAATTTTGTCTTGCTTATAAAGAGTTATTACCTTTACTGAAGATGGGATGTGCAAAAGTTTGATGATCTTTAGTATATATTACAAATATCAGCTTCTGTGCTGATTTATAATTGTGCTTTTTAATCCATGGGCATATCCTAAAGGTGCACAAAATTTTGAATATATGCTGAAACAAGAGGCCAAAGGGCCTAGAATCGCTCTTCTGAAAACTGTACAACCTATAATCTCATCTGTTTTAAGCCCCTTGTATAAATACATTCATTGTTCTTTGTTTTTTTTGTTTTTGTTTTTGTTTTTTTTTTATTAATGATTGTATTGCTTGATCCATATGGGTGTATTATGCAGTAAAGAATTATTATTAATTTTGCATTTGATATTTTTATTTATTTCTGTCATTTCATAAGACGAGAAAAATATTTTAGAACATAAAAAATGTCATAAATACTTATCAAAACTTTAATTATATTCATATGATACTAACTGGACAAGTTCATTTTTTTAAATATTAATTTTGTTTAATTCTTTAACTTTATTCTTTTAAATATATATTCTAATCTTTATTGCCCAAGACAAACATCTTATAGCATTGAGTTAACAAACATCAAAAGATTAAGGTTGTGTGGCATATATAAATATATGTAGTATATAATGTTAAATTGTAACAGACTTTAGTAATATACAGTTTGACCATATATACATTAGACAGAAAATGATTTTGTGACACTTTCACGTACTTCAAAAGCACGTTTAAAGTAAATAACTAAGCTGCACAGTTCTTTAAAAATTTTTACACTGAGCAGTTATATAAACATAAAAACTGAAGGTTTTTTCCAGTAATATTTCTTAATATAT